TGAGGTCTTGAATTCTCTCCTGATTAAGGATTTACTGAAAATGTGCATGTGTGTAATGGTTATCTTTTGTGGACGNACATATATAGCAGTTAATTAGCTGTCTTCTTGCTTCCCAGTATCTCTGGGTTTCCGTCGTCGTCTTTAGGGCTAGACACCGAATCAGGTGGGTCTTCTCCATTTCCTCCTGTAGGTTACTTAGGGGGCATGTGGGTTGAGTGTATACTCCCATTCTGTGAAGGTGTTTTGCCAGGCAATCGTGTCCGGTACGTAGTCTAAACGCGGCAACAGCTTCGATTCTTGACCAGTCGGGTATGTCGGAGAGTGCCACTGTCCACTGTTTCTCCTTTGTTCGAGCTTTAAGTTCGTTGCACCTTGAGGTCTTGAATTCTCCCCTGATTAAGGTCTTCATTGTGTGGAAAGACATCGGCCGGTCAATGCCTTGCAATATCGTTGTCCCCTTCTTAGCAAGTGCATCAGTACGCTCATTGCCTTTAATGCCACGGTGACCAGGAATCCATTGTAGGACCACTGTTTTGTTTTTTTCTCTCAGTAGCTGATACAGTCAAAATTCCACTTGCCACTGGCCGGTCTTTAGGTAGGTGGTGTAAGGTGTAACAGGAATGGGTAGTATTTGAGTTGTCATCCGTAAGATTGGCTTCCACGTTTGTGAATATGTCTATATCACCGTTATGTGGATATTCTGGATTTGGATCTTCTTGTTTTGTGACATCGATCTAGCATTCCACTGAAGGATCTGTAGAAGTTGTGATTCGCCCTGACAAGGGCGATTTTTTCTAAAAGTTTCGTTTCAGGCTGATCATAATAATTTGAAGTCAACCGCTGGTTGACTGACTTTTTGCCGTACGAATATGCGTTGTCCAGGGTGCACTACATGGAGGTAAGTCTATTGCACACCCCCTTTTACATTCTTGAACCAGTAAAAATAATCGAATTACATTACTGTTTTTCAACAAATAATATAGCTAGGACAGAGTAAGTGGAGCTTTCATTTTGGTTCAANAAAGAAGTTGCTGAGGCAATCATTACAAATTTATTTGTGCGTTCTATGGGAAGATTTTCCCCTTTACATATATTTCTTTACTCTCTGATGGATGTAATTTTATTGCGATTTTATTCGAGCCTGACTTTCGGGCATTCATTCGAAAGTAGTTGTTACCACTTCGAGAGTTTCCCATGGGTACTTGCCCTTGTCACCTACTTCCTCCCTCCCCTCCTCCGAATGACTCTCGAAATTATTATAGAATTATAGACAGGATTCGTTACCAATTGCGGGGGAAGGATAATTTTAGCGTCAGTGGATTGTAAGGAAGCCATGGCCCGGTTACCGTGAGAATAATCTCAATCCAATTGGTTATTACCTCCAATCCCCTACGCTCTCTACTACTCACATCGACTTTGAGCAGTGTACCAACAGACGGAGCTGAAAATATAAATAATTATTTATATTTATATTTATTATTGGTTGACAGTTCTTAAATCAACGTCCTTGAATTTTTTGGAATCTTATCTGTTAAAGCTTTTGTCCTTTTTTTGTAATTATTATTGGGTGAATTTTGGGAGCGTATTGTTAGGAGACGTAGAACCGGACGCTTCAAAATCACAATGAATCTGATCTAGTGTACCTGCGATATCGTATGGAAGGAAAACAACGAAAATGAATTCTTTTTTGTAGCAGTGGATGGGGAGCAAGCCCTTGTCATTGAGGCATAAGGACATTACTGCAGCCTCGTGGTCTGACGATAGCAATGTATTCGCATGGGGAATGAGATTAAGGACTTTTTTTGGGAAACATGAGAAGAGGCTTCCTTCAACAATCTACAAACCGGAGAAAAAAGAGGAGTTCTCCTTATGACAGCTACAGCTACTACTACTACAGCTCAACCCGAATTATATCGCGCAATGCCTATAATGATGTAGCACTTTATTAAAGATTAGTTATTTGTGTGACTTACCTGCGTCTCATTAGTCGGTGTTACATATTTATTTATAACAAATGGCAGGCGTTTTGATTGTTATCATTAGCCCTTTAGTTGACTTCGGGCTTCACAGAGGGGAGGAGGAACATCAAAGTGAGAAGAATTCAGGAGGAGTAATAGAAGGGTGTTT